AGTATCAGCTATTTCTTACGCTGAAGTATACGATGTGTTGCATACCTATTTACAAACAATTCCTTTAAATTTTAATCATTGATTACTATACATCTATTAAAAAAACATAATGGCCGACATCAGTAACAATGCGACAACAATCGAAAAAGAATGATGGCCGACAACTGCAACAATTAGAAAAGAATGATGGCCGACACTACGTCATAATGGAGCAATAAAAATGACCGGGGTCAGGGGGAAGAACTAGTAAATATAACTGTAATAATATTATTACAAAGGACGCTAGAAAATAATTTTTCTCACGGAAATAACTCTTCTATATGATATTCATTAGTACTCTTGAACAAATCACAAAATATTACGCAAAGATAATTAATTAGCGTTATATTTCAAGGCGTCTTGCAAAATTTGATTGAAAACCCTTACACCTTTCTATTTGGAGCTGCTAGTTACTAATTACGAGTCTTTAGTTAATTATTATTGTAAATTATTGTTTTAATGCCGAAAATAAGACATTGATGAAGTTATACAATCATTTATCAATTATTGTTAGAAAATGTTATTGAAAATTTTGGTGGAAGCGCCGGAACAGTTTAAAGTAATTGAGCTGTAATTCAGGTTTAATGATAATTCATCTTTAAGTAATATTCTATGTAAATGTAGTTAGGGATGTTGATTATTTATATTTCTTTTTTTATAATAAATTAAATTACCTACAATTTATAATATATGTCTTTTAAGTGAAAGAGTCTCAAACAAATCATAGAATATTACGTCGAAATAATTGATTAATTAACAATAGTTTTGAAGGCCTTTCGTTGCAAAATGTTTGACATAAGTTTTGATTTTCTAGGAAATATAATTATTTTGTATTTACATTATTTTTTTGTCTTTTCCTTAGAAAATTTTTGGAGAATTAGAAAAACTAAATGAGTTATCAGTATGGAATATCTTAGACAAATTCAAGTCATCATCATCATAAGGTCGTCAGTCCTAAGACTGGTTGGACACGTACCTCCACTCTTTCCTATCCTGAGCTAAACTTCGCATTTCCCTAAAACTAGAACAGCCCACATCCTTAACTATTTGCGAACAGTAATCTAATCTAGGTCTACCTCTACCCCTCCTAACTCCTGTTTCTGCCTCTAATATGTCTCTGACTAGACCTTCATGCCTGAGAAGGTGTCCTACCAACCTATCTCGCCTATTTTTTATTGACTTCCATAGAGTCCTCTGTTCTCCTATTCTTTCCAATACCTCTTCATTTCTAACCTTTTCTACCCACGATATCCTCATCATCCGCCTATAACACCACATTTCGAACGCTTCTAACCTTTTCTTTTCCGCCGCTCCCACTGTCCATGTTTCGCACCCGTACAACGCCGTGCTCCAAACATACACCTTTAACAACCTTTTTCGAATTTCTAAATTAACCGTTCGCGAGCATAGAAGTGACTTCTTTTTATTAAAGGCGACACGACCCTGCGCTATCCTCTGCTTTATATCCCTACTACTCCTTCCATCCTGACTTATCTGACTTCCTAGGTATCTAAAATCAGCCACTTCTTCTAATTTTTCGTCTCCTATCTTTATATTCGCTCCTTCCCTACTTTTTCTTCCCTTGCATACCAGTATTTTAGTTTTAGTTTTATTTACTTTCATACAGTACTGATCTGTCAGGACCGCTTCCATTTTTCTTAAAGCTATCTCTAGGTCAAATTCAAGTATAAAAAATTAATACAAAAATCATCTAATTTTAAATAATAACAGAACTGAGTTCTTTTATTAAGTTAGTATTTAATTGTACCTACAAAAAAAATTAGAAAATTTGTAATCGCCAGTTCTTCTACTGGCTAAATTTTTTAAAAAATAACTCAATGTACCCACTGAGTGTTTGGATCATTTTGTTCGTATATGTACATGAAAGAACAAATGGCGGTAAGTTAGAGGCCTGAATCAAATAATTTATTTAATTACATTATAATTAATTTTATGTGTTCAATGTAGGTTCTAAAGTTTGATTAACTCTGGTATCAACAGAGGCAGGACATGAAGTACAATTACAACAATAACTTTGCAACTCTACAGATTTCGTTCGTTTTATTAATCAACCTTTTAAACGATACCCCCCACATGATATTAGAAAAATCTTTTTTCAATTAAGTTACTTAACTTGCCCCCGACTCCTAATAAAACTTTTGAGATAGTACAAAACTGTAAAAATTTAACAAAAATATTATCTGCGAACTCCGATTATGTTTCAGAGTCTCTTTTTCTTCTTCTAAGTAAATAAATTATCAATCGTTTTCTTCGGAGATTGCAGAAGAAGTTAGCGTTAGATATCTAACAAGTAAATTAGCGGATGTACAACTTTTAATGTTAAATAGTTACTTACACCTTTAATTAGAGCGGCTACGAAGTTAATTGAAGATGAATAATATCGAATTCTTTATGCAAGAACGAGGCAAGGCCAAAGCGTGTGAATTCACTTAAAAAAATATTTTATTTATTTTGAAAATTTACTTTTTAATTATTTTCCACAAAACTAGAAAGAACAGTCGTGACTAAACCATTAAGTAAATAAGTAATCAAGCGAATGTTTGAGGTTTCGTGAAAAAGCACGTGATTTTTGATGAATTTAAGTTTCTAATCAAGTAGGCGAAAACTTTACACACATTCATTTGTTTGTCCATTCATAATTATTATCTTGCAGTTTTATGACCTCGTGTTTGCTTTCGACAAATGTGTGACTCTGTGTACTAAGTTAAACAAAAAATTAAATATTTTGCCGACTTGATTTATGCTCAAGTACCCTAGATTAGCCGCTTTTTAGATAAACATTGTCACTATAAATAGTAAATTATATTACACTAAAGCAGTTTATGTTATTTTTAGTAATGTTTTGGTAGAGATTTGTAGATTTGCGATGCGTTTTTGATATGTATGACGTATGTAATTTATTTATCGCAATTGTCTTTAAAACAAACGCAAAGTCAAACAAGATGGCGGCCATGAAAGAACTAACAAGATGGGCGAAAAGCAAAATCAAAATGGCATCTAAAAAAATGACGTGTTAACTGTAAGGAATAAAATCAGAGACACAATAAACTGTAAAAACTTAAATTGCACACATAAAAACGAAAATCTGAAATTAACAGCAACAGTTTTATGCAAGTTTAGACGTGATTCACGGTTAAGATTTTAACAACAATGAGTAGTGGCTTAATATCAACAAAAGGATTACCTTTTGTAATTCTTTTATTAACATGCCGCATACGATAATAAATTAATTAAACAAAAAATGCCGTGTAGACTGTAAACGAGGTATATGGGTTTAGGAAATGTTTATTCAAATTGTGACGGAATTTATGAAGGAACTTTGAGTGGGAGTTATTAAAATGTGTAATGAAAATTATTTCTGACTTATAAGGTAGGGTTCTTAGTACTTAGAACCCGGTGTGCGGTATTTTTTTTATAGCATACTGTTAAGTGTAAAAAAAAACAAATGCTATGAATAATGTTCTCGAAAGTGTTCGTAGGGGTACATGTGTTACTGGCTGTTCACACATCCTTTAACAATGCAGATAATATTCAAAGACAGAATTTTAGTCAGGAACATACGTAAGTTTTTACCTATTAATTAATTCAACTTATTTTTTAATTTTTCTAATTGGAATCTACTTTTTGATCACCCTGTATTATATATGTACTGGCTCAGATTTATATACATATTTCCCCCCTAATGAATAATACCTATCAACAGTTTTGTTCGAAATTATATTTTTCGCGGGGTTTATTAATTGGAACCCGAACCCGATTAATACAATTAAAAATAAATAAAACTAGGGGAAGAAATGTTAAATTTGGTTAATACGTAATTAACAAAAATTCTTATTCATACTTTCCTAAAGGTAACATTTCGAATATTTAACGAATTTTACAAATCCAATTATCTCTTTAGCTAATACGAAAATACCACCATAAAAAAAAAGATACCAAAGAAGAGATTTATAAACAGAATTGCGGTAGTTGTGACAAAGCTTGTATAGGCCAAACTGATAGACGTTTCAATGATAGAATCAAAGAACACAAAACAGCGTTGAACATAAGAAATCTAACTCGATTCATTCAAGTAATTTATAGTAATAGAAAAACATATATTTAATGAAAATTACGAATTCTTACACGTTGAGAAGGCAGGGATCAAACTAAATCTATTCTAAAGTCTACAATTTAATATAGATTAGGTTTAATTATTAGTAATCATAAAAAAAATTGTTTTGAGTTCATTTTCGTTGACTATTAGGGAGGGAGTTACAATATTTGAAAGCTGGGAATGTACATATCTACACATAAAAAAATAATTATTCTACTTTTATGTAACCGTTTCCAAGAATTAATTTACTGTGCTTAATAAATCTACCGTAACCACGACAATATTGAGAAATAAATAAAACATACTTCAAGCACCTATTTACGACATACTAAAAAATTCGATAACACAATTTATAGGTATCTGAGTCAATATTATAGGACCATATTATAAAGTTATTAATAATAATTTGACGTTTTTCGAGAATATCGATACGCATTCTATTTTAAAAATTACGAAAAAAAGTTTAAAAAATCTATTCCAACTATGCGTACCTAATAATTTTTGGGATAATAAAAATCCCGACGAGCTTTAGCTTTTGTTTTTCGCGATATACCAGCGCCTACTGTGTCTCTATGAGCACCTATCTAAAAACAATGTTTTCTTTGTTTTGTTTGCTATGCTACTTTAAAGACAAACGGAATAAACATTTGAACATGCCTATGCGCTATATTGTATGCCTTGTCTAATTAAGTCAATAGTTTTCAATAAATAAATAAATTATCATGCACTGGCCCATAAAAAATCACTCCCTAATAAAGCAGTAATTTACAGACGTATGTTTTCATGTGTAATATACTTGGTTTTATGGGGTGCTTGGTAGATTTGCTTTAAATAAACTTTTGACTCTGGTATTAAGTCTGTGCAAGTTTTGCAGTGTCTGCTATTTTAACGGGACTGCAGGGAAACTATTCGCCTTCCGAATTTGACTCCAGTACAGTTTTGCATAACAATTTTATACACTATAAACACGAATCTACTTTTAATTCAGTCTATTTTTCTTTACTTTCAGTGTTTCGTCAAGGCAAAACAATTATTTTAGTACTACTTCACAAGAATCTCGTATATTAGATAATAATTCCTCTTTTTCTAATTCTTCGCCATACTCTAGTCCATCCACCTTATATTCCCAACCAACCACAATTCATAAAACAGAAACTGATGCTAATAATTCTTGGACAACAAACACTTCTCCATCTCCATCGTCCACTACCACAACACAAAATACATTGGCACCGGCATCAACCACCCCATCCAGTAATAAAACTGACATTTTAAACAATGACGATAATACCAATGGTAATGGTAACATTAATGGACAATCCGATTGTCCATCATTGAAAGGTGACGTCGATGCTTTGACCCAAGATGCCTTTTTGTCCATATTGGTACACACATGTCGTTATGACAGTTTGACGATTCCGTCCATGAACGAACCCTTAGAAGTTGCTGTACAACTAGACATTAGTCATATAGAAGTGGAGGAAAGTTATGTAAGTTTTTCTGATTTTCAATCGAAATTAAAAAGGAAATTTTACATTAACATAAATGCCAGAAAGATTCTATGCGATTTTGACCAATTTTTAATCGAAATTTCTTTCTTATTTACGTTATTGTGTGGTAGTTTTTCAATTCTAGTTTCTTAGAAATAATTTTGGATTCAATTCATAGTTACGTATACAGAGGGTAGATAAAAAAGAACGCGTTTTAGGACAATTATAGGTTTTTAGATCGATCAACATATGGAAAGCGTTAAATCTGATGAATTAATAGAAACATTTTAATTTTTCTGTATTGTACCATTATTGTTACCGTTACAATGGTAAATTAATTTTTTGTACGTTCACCAGAGATTCAAGCTCCATTTAATGATAACATTCAGTTATATGGATAATAGATTGGACTATCACAACTTGTCCCCCAAAAGGGGGCCCATTGTGGGGGGTGATATACTGAGCGGACGGATTTGGACGCCTCATATTTACGTTCCCAACGAGAGGTCCAGTTCTCTGATGGGTTTTGGTGGCAAGGACGTTTACATGTCCATCAACCCAATGGGGAAGGTTGTCTTTACCGAACGAATGTCCGTTAGTATTTATTGTTGGATGGATTTAAAGAAATTCCCCTTTGACGAACAAAAATGCAGCATATACTTCCAGACTTGTAAGTCAAATAGATATTACAAATAGACTAACAAAAATAGTTATCTTTAAAATTTTTTTAAACCAGTCATTGTCTTGCTTTTGGTTCTTAACACATTTGTTTTGATGGCGAACTGTTTTAGTACAGAAAACACCCTTTCTTTGCGTTTAAGTTATCCATATGAAACACTTTGCAACTCAGTAGTAATTAGTTATATATTAATGTGAAAATTCATCTTTAGCACTATAAATTACCTCAGAAAAATTGTTGCTGCTCGCCGGGAATCGAACCCGAATCGAATCTCGTAGTTGGTGGTGATCAGAGTATAGATGTGTAAGCCGAAGGTCCCGGGTTCGATTCCCGGTGAGGATCTGGCAACAGCAACAATTTTTTTTCTCATTAACTTGAGGTAATTTAGAGTGGATAAAAATTAAAGATGAATTTTCTCATTAATATTTAAGTTTTCGTTAGGATATTTGTTTAACGTTTACTCGAAATTCTTTTACGAACAACGTACCTATTATATATTACTATAACATTAATTTTAATTAAGTTTATTCATTATATTTTAGTCGTGTATAGAAAAAAGTTGTAACAAAGGTTAAGGTAGTTTACAAATGTTTTTCGTTTGTAAGCCGTCTCAAATTGCAAATCAATGCAGTGCCTATCATTATTGAAGGTTTATGCACTTTATAAACGACAGGCTTTTGTAATTGATAGCTCTATTTCAGCAAATAAATTCACGTTTCCGCGTAATATCCCTTTTTTCTCCAAGGTTAGCAATGCTTTTCTGCTTTGTATTAAGGTCGCTCGTGACATTTACATATTAGAATTAAAGTAACTACTTCTGAGTTATGATTTATATGAATTTGTAAATTGTCCAATACACGGTGCTACGTATAATATATAAATCAATTATTTTGTATAAAAATTGTTTGGCTTTTTGGTACCAGAAAAAGGTACTAATTACCTAAGAAAAATTTGATCAAAAGGTTGGCCAATATAAATGGCATCGAAATAAAGGTACGCTTCTTACCAATATCATAAAACTGTGGTAAATCAATTGCACCAAAAAAAGGTACCCATTTACCAAATACCATACAAAAACCGATCAAAAATGTGACAATATCAATGGTATTAAAATGAAGGTTACCATTGTATCAATTACTGTACAAATACTGATCAGATGTGTAGTCACATTAATGGTACATTGTACAAATTACCCCATAAAGAAGTATCAATCAAAGTTGTGGTTATATCGATGATATCAAAATAAAGGTACCATTGAACTAATTGCCCCATAAACACTAATCAAAAGTGTGACAATTTCAATTGGACTACAATAAAGTGACCATTGTACCAATTAGTCCATAAATACTTATCCATAATATCGTCACATTTACCAATTACCCTATAACTATTTAACCAAAATATGAGCACATTGTTGGGGCCAAAATAAAGGTACCATTGTATCAATTACTTTACAAATACCGATCAGATGTGTAGCCACATAATTGGTACATTGTACAAATTACCCCATAAAGAAGTATCAATCAAAGTTGTGGTTATATCGATGATATCAAAATAAAGGTACCATTGAAATAATTACCCCTTAAACACTAACCAAAACTGTAGCGACTTCAATTGTACTAAAATAAAGTTATCTTTGTACCAATTAGTCCATAAATACTTATCCATAATATGGTCACATTTACTAATTATCCTATAACTATTTAACCAAAATATGACCACATTGTTGGGGCCAAAATAAAGGTACCATTGTACCAATTACCCCATAAATACTAGTCAAAAGTGTAGCCATATCAATTGGACTACAATAAAGTTACCACTGTACCAATTACCCTATAAATACTTATCCAAAACATGGCCACATCGTTGGTGACAAAATAAAGGTACCATTGGACCAATTACCCCATAAATACTAATCGAAAGTGTTGCCATATCAATGCTACTACAATAAAGTTATCGTTGTATCAAGTAGTCCATAAATACTTATCCATAATATGGTCACATTTACCAATTACCCTATAACTATTTAACCCAAATATGGCCACATTGTTGGTGCCAAAATAAAGGTACCATTGTATCAATTACCCCATAAATACTAGTCAAAAGTGTAGCCATATCAATTGGACTACAATAAAGTTACCGCTGTACCAATTACCCTATAAATAATTATCCAAAACATGGCCACATCGTTGGTGACAAAATAAAGGTACCATTGGACCAATTACCCCATAAATACTAATCAAAAGTGTTGCCATATCAATGCAACTACAATAAAGTTATCGTTGTACCAATTACTCCATAAATATTTATCTAAAGTATAACCACAAAAGTACCAATTACCCTATAAAAACCAATCGCAATTTTGGTGTTTTTTATGGTACCAAAGTACAGGTATTAGGTACCTACCCTTTCTGTTTTGGCAACTCTAGAACTTCTACGTATATGTCCCCCAAACATTAGAGTCGTAATCAGTTTCCTTTCTTTTGCAGGGACTTACAATATAAGCAAACTTAAACTAAAATGGGAAAAAGATGACCCTGTGACAGTTAGTCGCCACTTACACATGACCGAATTCACATTGATTGGATATGAAATCTATGAAACTGTAAACCAGTCAATAATGGCACATGGGTCCTATCATGGTATAAATTGTCATCATTCTAATTCAATTTTGTTTTATTTAATTAAAGCCTGCAAGAACAACTTCACTCTTAATTCTTTTACTTCGATTTTACTGTTAGTATTCAGTTTCCAATTTCGAAAACATAAAATAAGGGTGTCAATTAATTACGGGTCTTTTTGAATGTAGTATTTGTTTATAAATAATTTTTCTAGCTGGTAACCACAGCAGTTTAATTTTCGAGTTCCATATTGCCAGAGAAATTGGTTATTACATCATGGATTACTTCATACCTTCCATGCTACTGGTAGTTACTTCATGGGTGACATTTTGGTTACAGGCAGACAACGCTCCACCCCGAGTAACACTAGGTATGTTTATAAATTGTAAATAATACATCCACTGAATGCAAATAAACTAAACTGATTATCCGTTTAGGGACTTCAACCATGTTGGCATTCATTACTTTGGCTTCCGGACAAAGTAAAAATTTACCTAAAGTGTCTTACATTAAAGCGAGTGAAATTTGGTTTCTGGGATGTACCGTCTTCATATTTTTATCGATGGCCGAATTCGCCTTTGTGAACGTAATTTGGAGAAGAAAGTAAGACATCAATATTACATTGTTTTTTTGGGCACCCTTGGCTACATATCTCTTCTTGTAACATATCATATGTTTAAACCTGCTCACTTTTATCCAATTGTTTAGTACCAATGCATTTTTGTTGCTGCTTTTCAATCGAAAAGTTCAAACTAAAAATTGGGGAAAAACCAATAAACTTTAGCCCATTACAACCCTCTAAATTAATATTTTCACAGGAAGAAAGTGGAATTAAAAAAAATGACGGGTAAATATATTCTCAAGTCAGCATTGACTCCGAAACTGGCTAGAAAAGAACTTCAAAAAGAATGGAACAATTCTCTGAACAGTCTCCATAAATCCCATTCCTGTTCAAGTATTGTGAGTAGTTTGGATGATAAGATAAACAATGGAAGGAAACAACCTACATACAACAATTATTTAACCGTCCACGTAAGTTATTTTAAGTCATATTTAAGTGCATTTTCATCCCCCTCATTTTATTTGTCATTAACAGAGTCTTCCGGGCATTAATATTCACGAAGTGAACAATCATAGCGACGATACTTTGATAACCAGTAGTGGTAGTGGCGATAACGTTACAATCCCTGTACCAAATAGAAATAACAATGGGCAACCACCTTCCGGTACTTTTGCCAGTATGACTCCCCAAGAAGTGGCGATTTGGATTGATAAGAAGTCGCGATTTATATTTCCGTGTGCTTTTTTAATATTTAACATTTTTTACTGGTCTTTTGTGTACGCTATTTAATTTTAATAATAAAAAAATTATTAAAGATAAACTAGGGGTTTCTTTATCAGATTCTTTTACGTTTTATAATCAATTAAATCATACCTAAGTGCATTTTGAGAGGGTCTACCGTCGCGTTCACTTCCTTTCCCTATACAACCCCCTTTGCATAGTCGTTTGTTTTATTCATTTCTACTATATAAACCCTAGAGAAGTTTTTCCCCTATCTATATAGATGACCCATACATATGCAGAGGGGCAACTATTCTTTCTCTATTGATTTTCACACAGAGCGCAACATTTTTTTTAATTTGTATGCTGCGGGGTTCGAACCGGGGATCTCTCGCTTCGTAAACTACCACTCTATGCACTTACCTGCGCAGGCCCCACATGCATTTGTATTAAAAAAATAAACAAAAATCACATGAAGTATTAAAATGACATTAAAATGATACTGTTATAATAAATAGTAAATAAAAAATGATCTGGTTTAATGGAATAATGGAAATATTTTTTTTCTGCTGTATATTTACTCAAACTATTTATTAAAAATAAGCAATATCGTTTCAACACATTTTGTACTTTTCTGTATAAGTAGCTAAAAAATATTTATACAAATATCATTTACAATAAGTTTCTTTCACTTTGCGACCTTTTCAAGTTTTTTTGATTCCTGGAAATAACAGGAAAAACAACATTTTACTCCCAACTACCCAAAGATATACCTCAAAACTTTTAGAAAAAGAAACTAAACACCCAAGTCTATACTAAACATGTTCTCTAACTAAATAAATAAATAAAGAGCCAAACAGACGAAATAAAAAAGAAAATTTTTGTACAAACTTACCAGCCATTTTCGGCAGAAGCAGGCAACGTCCTGTTTCCTCTTACAGGAGGGCTAGGGGGATGCAAGGGAGGTAATCTCATGCTTGCTCCCGGTCTGGAAACGGGGTGTCCCATGACACGATCTATACTTGTGTCATTCAGTAACGGCAAGGGGTAGTTTTCGGCCTCGGACTCAGCTGATGATGGTGGACTTCCTTCGCTGCTAATTTCGGATGAAACTATTCTACGGAAGATGGGGTCGCTGTATCTGATCGGGGGAAAGGGCAAAGGTGAAATAAAGTTGACCAAACAATAAACTTTAATGTTTTACATTTTAGATACAGGGGGTAACTTGTTTGGACTAACGGTGGGCGAGAAGCTGCTATCTGCGTAGGTCGAAGCATGGATTTCTTGCTGATAAGAATTGTACAATTCCTGCAACTCCTGAGGAATCGTTATGTTGCTATCTGGAACAAAAAGTGGTTTAAAATTTCGTTTCTGCCGTGTGCATACTCACCAGGAAACAGGCAAATGTACCTTCGATTATTTTTCTTTGTCTGGTGATGATGTCTTCAGACAACTGTCTCTGTCTGTCGTACCGGAGTATGACCAGGTCTCTTCTTCTCAATTCGTGTTGCCTGACAAGTCTCTCCGATTGCAAGGCCATTTTGTCAGCTTCCAGCTCATGAACTCTACACATCAAAGCCAAAATTTCCCTTTCGTCGTCTGATGATAACAGTGCTGGGAGTTTCTATTACAACAAAAAAGAATAAAAATGCTTCATATTGAACGAGATAAAGTTGCTTGCTTACGTCTTCCAGGGCGACTCCTCTTTCTCTACACAATTCCAGCTTTTCTTCGATGTGTGACCTCAATTCCGACCATCTCTCTTGCTCCCTCTCGATCTCTCCGAGTTCTGCCCACGCCAGTTGGACTGCAGCATCCCCTTCTACTTCTCCCTCTTCGTCGTCTTCTTCATTTTCAAATCCTTCTTCGGCTATTTCGTTCAGATGATCGGCGGAGTGGAAACCTTCGTATTTCTTCTTTCTTTTCGTTGGAAAAATCGAATATTAGGTATCTAAGTATCTAGTGAATAGTGACAATAATGAAAATATTGTCTGGTCTTGCAATATTTGTTCTTGGTCCCGTCAAAATGCATCCAGGTCATGGTCAAATACAAAGCAACATTTGCAAGGTGAAGATCTAAACTTAATTTGGAAGATCAAGACCATCAACAAGACCCAGAATACCTCAGTAATAATAGGAACAAGTCGAAATGTAAATATTCAAGATAAATGATTTCTTTGTTCATATGATGAGAAAAATTTGCTTTGGAGTCGCAGTTTTTATCTTGGTCTTAACAAATGCATCCAGATTAAGATTGAGATCCGATTGACAAGACTCAGACATAAACGTATAAGACCAAGGCAAAGTACAAGACTTTGTATGCAACAATTTCTTTGTCCATAGTAATGGGCAAAATCTGCATGATGAATCTTCACCTTTTGTGAGATTATTTATGCCACTAACCTTACGGATTGCTGAGTCTGAGCCCTGGATATGTTGACATGGTTTTTGTACAGTTTGCTGTTTCTGGATTCCCAATGGGAGATGATCAGATGCTGTCTCTCAGCATCCATACCGAGACTTAGAAGGTGGGAGTCGATTTCCATGAGTTTTCTCCTCAGTTTCATTTGTTCCTTGAACGTGGAAACAATCTGCTCTCTGAGATTTCTGACCTCGTTGTTCCTTTGTTCGGCACTGATTCTCCTGATGTCCCCAGATCTGGGTCTCTCCTCGGTCATCTTCGACTGCAATCGCGAAATTTCACCCCTCAATTCGTTAATAACCGTTTGATACTGAGTCACATGATACGAAACGTCAAACATGTTCCTTTCCACCTTGTTGGAGATGTGGTTAGCCCTGTCGGCGTAGACGAGGGTGTTCTTTGTTTCTTCCCTCTGCGAGAGGGCCGGAGACACGTGGGCTATCATCACAGTTCGGCAGTTTCCCCCCAGGGCTTCCTTGAGGAGCCTTGTGAGCTTTGAATCCCTGAAGTTGACGTAACGCGCCCCTCCACTGAGGGCGTTTATGCAGTTGCCGAGGGCTAAGAGGGATCGGTTTATATGGGCCCCTTCTTGGAGGCGTTTGCCCCTGTTTTTTGTTTTGTTCGCCCTTTCCGAACCCGCCAGATCTATCATGAAAAGTCTGCCCTGTTTCATGCACATTTTTAGGTGATCTTTTTCGTTATCGATTGGGGTCGTGTGCTTGACGGTTACGCTTAAGAGGGCGTGGCTTCGTGAAGACGTCTTGTTCATTGCAGTTGGCTCTACTGTTCGAGCTTTGTTGCCCTTTTGTAGAAGGGACATCACCTGATTGTGTAAAAATAGAAGAAAAAATATGCTAATATTGGAGGGTAAGCGATTCCAGTCAATGTCAAAATTAAAAAAAAAACTATAGCACCGGCCGAGTGTAGAGACCGAGTCTGTCTAGGTGGCAGCTAGTCATCGATACCAGTGGACCATTGGCGTTAATTGAAAATCGTGACGATTTACATATTTTCCGAACACTACGCTGGCCTGACATTTCCTAGCTAACATGCGGTGTAATTGTAATCTGTAAAATGGGCGAATTTCCGAATTTGGACGAAATAAAGAGAGACTTTTCTCTTATAACAGGTAATTTCACTATTTATGAGAATTATGAAGCTTCAAGCTGTCTTCAAAAATTAAAAAATTGGAAAATATTATCAATCAGAACATCTATATAGTAAAATAATTATTATTTGACCTCTGATCTGTATATGTCCAGTGAAACTGAAATGTGAGGCTTTTCTTTCCAAAAAAAAAATTAAACCCGGTTGCACAATGTCTATTTTACAAAGATAAAGATAAATCGATGTGTTCTAGTTGCAATTTACTGACGATAGACCGATTACATCCTGTTTAACAATTTACAGGACTTGTGGGACAACACCAGCTGGTTTTTATTCTCTAGGGTGTTTGTTACGGTTTAATTGCAAGATCTCTTACATATCGCTTTTCAAAAGTCAGATAAGATCGAAACCTTTATTAAATATTGATTCTAGAGGATTTAGAGACAATTGCCTAGCTTTAGAAAGACATATGTAGGTGAGTTAATGTGAATATTAGTAGTTTTATGATTTTTTTTCTCATTACGAAGAAATTGGCTTTCTTTTGGTAACAATAAAACTGTTTAAAAATAGGTCAAGAGTATTAGTTGTTAGTCATGGTAATCTCGTTTAAATTTTATTCGAAAATTACGTGCAATGGGTAAAATGGTAATACATGACTCCCTTCAAGTAGTGTCATAAAATAGTTTATTTTTATAGCTCACCTCATTAGTCGATGTGGTAGAAATTTCTGACAATCCAGCCACTTGAATATTTTTTCCCCTTGAATCTTCTCGAAGGTCTAGGTAGCCCGAGGAAGGATTAAGGAGGTCTCTTATCTGCTCATTATAAATCTCCAGGTAGGACATTGTGACCTTTAAAAGTAAGAAAGAAAACAATCGATACACTTCTTGATATTGACCGAAAATTGATAGGGGTTTTGGATGTCCGGCGCATTCACCAAAATTTTAATATGACCAACCAAAAGGGAAATACTCTATGACGTATAATTTAAAGTGCTGAATATAAATTTAGCCTCATAATTGTCCTAAGCATGTCCTAATATTATAAATGCGAATGAGTTTGTTTGTCGGCTTTTCACACCTTAACTTCTTAAAAAAGAACATAGGGTCCCATTTATCCAGAAAAAATATACCGTCCGGAGTTATAGAGAAAGTTAATTCAATGTGATCAATTTCACCCCTTAACTACTGAATCGATCTTCATGAAATTTTGTAGATACATTGCCAGGGGTACGGAAAAGAACACAGGGTCCCATTTATCCAGAAAAAATATACCGTCCGGAGTTATAGAGAAAGTTAATTCAATGTGATCAATTTCACCCCTTAACTACTGAATCGATCTTCATGAAATTTTGTAGATACATTGCCAGGGGTACGGAAAAGAACACAGGGTCCCATTTATCCAGAAAAAATATACCAACCGGAGGAATAGAAAAAGTTAATTCAATGTGGTCGATTTCACCCCGTAACTACTGAATCGATCTTCATGAAATGTTGTAGATACATTGCCAGGGGTATAGAAAAGAACATAGGGTCCCATTTATCCAGAAAAAATGTACCAACCGGAGGAATAGAAAAAGTTAATTCAATGTGGTCGATTTCACCCCTTAACTACTGAATCGATCTTCATGAAATTTTGTAGATACATTGCCAGGGGTACAGAAAAGAACATAGGGTACCTTTTATCCAGAAAAAAGATAGCGTCCGGAGGGATAGAAAAAGTTAATTCAATGTGATCGATCTCACCCCTTAACTATTGAATCGATCTTCATGAAATTTTGTAGATACACTGCCAGGGTTACATAAAATAACATAGGGTACCTCTTATCCAGAAAAAATATAATGCTCCGGAGGGATAGAAAAAATTACTTCAATGTGGTCGATTTCACGTCTTAACTACTCATTCAATCATCATGAAATTTTGAAGACACATTGCCAGGGGTATAGAAAAGAACATTGGGTCCAATTTATCCAGAAAAAGGTACACCGTCCGGAGGGATAGAAAAAGTTAATTCAATGTGATCAATTTCACCCCTTAACTACTGAATCGATCTTCATGAAATTTTGTAGATACATTGCCAGGGTTACACAAAATAACATAGGGTACCTCTTATCCAGAAAAAATATACCGTTCCGGAGGGACAGAAAAAGATAGTTCAATGTGGTCGATTTCACGTCTTAACTACTGAATCGATCATGATGAAATTTTGAAGACACATTGCCAGGGTCATAGAAAAGAACATAGGGTACCTTTTATCCAGAAAAAAATATACTGTTCCGGAGGGATACAAAAAGTTAGTTCAATGTGGCCGATTTTAAGCCTTAACTACTTAATCGATCATCATGAAATTTTGTAGATACATTGCTAGGGGTATAAAAAAGAACATAGGGTCACATTTATCCAGAAAAAATATACCGTCCGGAGGGATAGAAAATGTTAATTCAATGTGGTCGATTTCACACCTTAATCACCCAATCGATCATTATGAAATCTTGAAGATAATTGCCAGGGGTACAGAAAAAACATAGGGTCCCTTTTATCCAGAAAAAATATACTATTCCCGAAAAGAAAGTGCTCAGGTAATCTTTAGATGTATTATTTGATGGCGCACTTAAATGTGTTCACAAAAACCTTTCAGCAGTTTAAAATTTCCAGAAATCCTAACGTATTTCAAAGCCTAACAAGCCAAAATTAGTATTATCCGAATTTTTAAGCTACGATGTATCAAAATCTTGATACGCTTGGGAAAATCTAAAAGGAGATTCTAATTCAGCGATAAATGATGTCGAATGTAGATTCGATTAGGATATTTCAAAATTCAAGCGTGCTGTTACAATTTTGTTTCTGATTTTGATTTCCAAGTACACGTTTTGACCAACCCTGAGTCTGATTCTTAATCAAATCTCATAGTTCAGTAACTTTCAAACTGCTCTTTACAAGAGTGAAAATTTCACTAAAATTTATTCAAACATAGCTTATAGTTATCCCGATCGAATACTCCGTATAACAATGAAACTTTTATAAAATTCCTTTCAATGGTTCTCGAGGCATGAGACAACAAACAGGCACACAGGTTTGTATATGTATGCGTATGCATAAATTGTACAATGGAATAGATACATTATTGACCTCGATTACAAGGCCGTTTGTGGATACAAAATTAAATAGTAGGTATACACACAAGGTGGTAGCAACTTTCGTTTTTCTTTTTTTAATGGCCTCTTAAAATAACAAAAAGGGTCGCACTTTTTTTTATTAATGAAGGGAATTGTAGTAGAGCATCGAAAAAAAAAACTTGAAATGCGCGTTAGGTAAGGTAAATTCCATGACTGCGAAGGTTTCCTTTCTTCCTTAAAAAATAATGTGGTAGTGACATTGACATCCGTTTGCCTTTTGGTTGAAGTGTATTGTCATGTTGACCTCATAAAATATTAAAGATGCTTTAGAAATCGACAAGGTATCGTATATTAGTGCTAATAAAGCCCGTGTAGTCTATTTACATTATATAGATATACTTTTTTTTAGACTATACTTATCGTTTTTTCGAGTTTAATTCACCATTCATTTTCTTATTCTACTTCATTTTAAAAATAAGGAAACAGGAGGCAAGAATAAATAAAACAAAATAATTCGAAGTGGTCTGTATTCTGTCGAAACTGCCAGACGCGGATCGCGATTTCGATCTTTTTGGATCTCATCAGCGCGTCGCAGACAGTTCCGACAGTACACAGACCAACTTTTACCTGCTGTCTTAACAGCGCGTTTTAGAAAATACCACAAATGGCACGGTAAACGCCATCTGTAGTACGATGCTACATTTTAGGATTACGTATGCTCCAACAAGGTCCCGGCGTAGCTAACTTCAACGTGATAGGCACTACCATAATCGAATAAAATAATTCGAAGTGGTCTGTATTCTGTCGGAGATGTCTGCTACGCGCTGATGAGATCCAAAAAGATCGAAATCGCTATCCGCGTCTGGCAGTTTCGACAGATTACAAAGCACTTCGAATTATTTTATTCGATTATGGTAACGTGCCTATCACGTTGAGGTTAACTACGCCGGGATTCGTTTCAGCAAGTAGATATCCATATATTTAAATAGACCTTGTTGGAGCATACGTAATCCTAAAATGTAGCATCGTGCTACAGATGGCGTTTACCGCGCCATTTGCGGTATTTTCCAAGAACAAATAAGTTTCAATACTTTCACGTGTCCAGAATATAATTATAATCCAACTTTTCGATGTGCAAAAACTCAATCTTTCGAATTCTGTTTGCCCCACGTTGTATTTAAGGGTTGAAACTAGTTTATAAATTACAAAGTGGCATATTACAAGCCCTTTATAGGTGATTGATGATTCATTATTCTACTACAATTATTGTTTTAGAACATAAAAGTGTGACATGTTTCTTTTGTATTATTTAACTCCCTAAAGAAAGAGGTTTTCAAAACAATAATTAGAATTATGAATGAATTCTAACAGAAAAAACTCTCTCTAATATTAACCCTTCTATTCCAGTCAAACCTAAATAAAAAATACTAAAGTTGACTGAACAAATTATAGTTTAATTTAGTTCAATATGATATTTTTCCGTTTACAGAATATAATGACTGGTTGTGTAACTTTGTAGGTAATTTGATATTTTCCTACTTTCTTGTGTTAACTTTTGCTGAATGTGGAAAAAGGGGGTCATTAAGGAGACCAATTGTCGTAATTTCTTTAAATGACTCACATTTACAATGCAGGGATGTTAGCTATTAGAATATTGATTACGTTTTACTGAACTGTATACTCAATGCTTGTTTTTTTTCAATGAATGTCTTATAATATTTCTGATCTAACACGTTTGCACCCCTTTAATCAGTTTGTTTAAATTTTTTATGAGTTGACCATTTTTTGTTCGTTAAATATACATGTTAGAAACTTTACTTTGTCGCGGTGAGATGGCTAAGTAGCCATAAGCATGCTATGGTGAAGCTAAAGGATCCCCAGGGCTCTGGAAGCAAGGTTCGGTGGAAAGTAGCTTACAGACACAGGGGAAGGTACGGAATCACCCGTCTGGTGGGTCGTAGCAAGCCGTGGAGACCCTCAGGGAAAAATACCTTCGATGACAATATGGGAACTTTGATAGGCACCGAAAATTCGGATGTCCTTTGGGTGGTGTGCCTTCTATGCCCATGTCCAAGGTGAAATAAATGTTCCGGCATTATAGTGGTGCCCATCAGACGAGGTCACAGAGTTGAGGGTAGCATGATCCATTGTAGGACAGAGCAGCTATGCAAGGATAGTGTGAAATCTGACCTATTGGGGGGCCTCACAGTTGTTGGCGAAAGGAGAGTAGAGGAAAAAAGAACAGTAGCTCGGGCAAGTCAGGAAGGCGAGAGGTACCCCGGAGTAGTTGATGGTCACTGGGACGGGGGGCCCAGAAGTCTAGTTCGTCTGGTTGGCTCTTGCACTTGGTGGAAGTCCCGGAGGGGAAAGGACGCGGCAGCTTGGATTTCAACACGTTATAAATCCAATAAAGATATGGTAGACTAAGATAGTGTACCAAGCGGCATGGCCTAGAGGTTTACACCATTGCTTAGCATTGGGGAGGATTCCGGTTCGATTCCGGGTCCGCCTGCCTTGGTCCAAGTTTTTCTATGGTTTCCTTGGATCACTTAGGCAAATGCTGGGGCAGTAATATTCCACAGATAATCTTTCATTCTCTTCTGTCTTCATTTCGTCCGTCTCATCTTTCTCACCCGAACCACCACCCACCCATTCCCACGATTCCCGAAAGCAGGCTGAAGAGGGCCATCCGCCCTACCTTCCGGCGTAGTCCGGAGGGACTGCCCGCCCACCAGCATTACTGGCTGGTGGGAATGAAACACCCAAAAGTTTTTTTTTTTTAAGATAGCGTATCGCCGGTTCCAACCAATATAGTATGCCTGTAAAACGATCGGCTTTCCCGCTACGGTCACCGACACCTTCAATGACAATTAAATTGGATCCTCTGTAGGCGCTGAAAGAAAAGTCAGTGGTCCTCTGGATGGTTGCTCTATATGTCAGCGCTATGATATGCATCCAGTGGAGTTACAGAGTTGAGGGTAACCTAACCTATTTAGGGGGGGTTATGATGTGAAGCATGTGGGACAGAACAGTTATAGGTTGAGCAGTCTGACCCATTAGAGGGGCGAAAGTAAAGTGGAGGCGGAAAGCATGGCAGCTTGGAGTAGCCAGGAGGCTGAAGGGTGTCTAGAGATACTGCAGATACGATAAAACGGATGCAATCCAGGAAGGGGTCATCGGTACCATCGATACCTAGAAGTCTAGCTTCGGCTTCTTCCTCACCGTTTGGTGTCGAATTAGACGCTGCAGTTGGTTGATAGTTGATGCTAAGATGGGTTAAGGTAAACTGTGCAGTTTAAGGGATTGGATAGGCCCGAATCTCGAGATTATTCGACTCATTAACCCTCAGGCACTACGGTGGCTTCCTGGGATCAATCTGTCTAACGGAGAAAAGACCGTAGGGACCCCTTATTCTACCTTGGTGAAGCTATGCCTGTTTGGTGTGAAGAGAAGCCTTACCCAGGTATTACGGTGCAAACACAGGGAAGCAGTGACCCATTCGAGCCACAAGCTTCAATAGCAGCCCACTATTGCCTCTTGAAGCCACATAACTATTGCCGCTGGCTATTGTTTTCATAGAGTTACCTTACATATTGTAAGTGGCCAAGTGTGCTGGCGTCTAGATACATATTGAAAGATCACAAACAGTGCTGCCAACATTGTAATAAAAGGGAAAACCCACTGTTGGTGGTGACTTTTCTGGTCTCTCTCGTTTTATCAAAAGCTAAATCTATTTTTATCATTTACTGTTACGTTTCAAAGGTTATTTCCTTTTTGTTAGCAACGAACGAAGTCTTGAAAATATATTTAATTAAATATACATTGTTAGTCACTGATAGAGTTAAACTTCGAATAAGTCAGATAATTAAAATCAATATTGTCCGTAACGTAGTTTAATTAATTTATTTTTCCTTTCAGTAAAAACAAATTATTGTTAGCGAATGACAATTGTTTGCAACTGTTTCAGTCTTTCTTTCTGCTTGTAGTTGATAATTCTTTTTTGTAACTATTTTTACCACAAACATATAATTTCATTCCATTTGATCGTACGGTACTGCACGTCTCATGAATCGAATAAAAAGCAAACAATTAATCATATATTGTGTCGGTAAATGTGTGTGTGTGTACGTAAGGTATATCGTGAAAATTATTAGAAGCACTTACCGTATATTGATCTTCATTGCCCTTAACGGCATTGAAAAGGTCATTAAGAGCCCTTAGCATGATACCAGGTTCATTGGGGTTTCCCACCATTGTGTGGGTCTTACCGGTACCAGTTGGACCATACGCAAACACTGTGGCGTTATATCTGAACGAAAAAAGAGAAAAACATGAACTTCTACACGGAATTAATTGTTACAAAAGTAGACTAAATTGAATGAAGGTCATTAAATTCTAAAATGTATTGATCCTTTGAAATTATCATTTAATCATTGATTGTTGATTAATCGATTTGAGTGACCGATCGGAGCGCAGTTTCGTTACTGCAAGGAAAAGTAAGCTAGACTACTTAATAGACTTCCGACTGCAACAAAGAAAACAATCACAGAATAACCAGTTACTTTAATGAGATTAATAATTGAATAATTAATTGTTGCTTTATTGTAATAAAACGATTGACTTTAAATAAAACACAAGTTAGTGTATAACTTGCTAGTTTAAAATACTTTTCTTTTTTTGGGGGAGATAGGCACTTTAGGGTGTACTAATTTACTGTGGTGTTATAGGCAAATGATGATGATAACATGGATAGAAAATGTTAGGAATGAATAGGTATTTGAAAGAATAGGAGAACAGAGGACTCTATGGATGTCAATCAGATCAGTACTGTATGAAAGTAAATAAAACTAAAACTAAAATACTGGTATGCAAGAAAAAGAACTGAAAGAGCGAATATAAAGATAGGAGACGAAAAATTAGAAGAAGTGGCTGATTTTAGACACCTAGGAAGTCAGATAAATCAGGATGGAAAGAGTAGTAGGGATATAAAGCAGAGGATAGCGCAGGGTCCTGTCGCCTTCAATAAAAAGAAGTCACTTCTATGCTCGCGAACGGTTAATTTAGAAATTCGAAAAAGGTTGTTAAAGGTGTATGTTTGGAGCACGGCATTGTACGGCTGCGAAACATGGACAGTAGGCGCGGCGGAAAAGAAAAGGTTAGAAGCATTCGAAATGTGGTGTTATAGGCGGATGATGAGGATATCGTGGGTAGAAAAGGTTCAGAGGACTCTATGGAAGTGAATAAAAAATAGGCGAGATAGGTTGGTAGGACACCTTCTCAGGCATGAAGGTCTAGTCAGAGACATATTAGAGGCAGAAACAGGAGTTAAGAAAAGTAGAGGTAGACCTAGATTACATTACTGTTCGCAAATAGTTAAGGATGTGGGTTGTTCTAATTTTAGCAAATGCGAAAATTTGCTCAGGATAGGAAAGAGTGGAGGTACGTGTCCAACCAGTCTTAGGACTGACGACCTTATGATGATGATGAATGTAATCGACCCTCTCTTCGATTCTTATATCCTATTAGGGCAAACGTACTTAGCCTAATTGCTTTGTCATCATAATAATTGTATTGTTGCGTGTGCCATTAGCTGGCATATTTTATTACCTATCATTGTAAATCATATAAATATCGAAAATCTATACATAACTGATATTAATTTGTCAAAATTAAATGAAATGAGAATGTCGCATTCCCTTAAAATATACTTAATTGAATATGCATGATTTTTCCACCAAAATTATACCTCATACGGTAATAGACATATGTTCTCTAGCGCAGTGATTCCCAACCCCTGGGGTTCGCAGTGTTTACAGAGGGGGTTCGCGAAAATAATATTGTAATGGCGGATTTTTTAAAACGCCATTAAAATCAAAAGCAAAAAAAAACAAAACAAAAACACAAAAATTAAAGAACACACTCTATAACAAATTGCAATATTTTAATTTCTTTTTTCATTATTTGTTTTTCAAAATTACTTCATCAATATCAAAATATATCAACAATTTTATACATTAAAATTTATTCCTCTTATTCAAGTAATCAAATACTATTCTCT